CGGCCGCCCCAGCCGCGATCCGAGCCCGCCCTCCGCCCTCCGCCCCGCCCGCCCAGCCCCGGGGCTCGAGACGCCACGCGGAAGCTGGTTTCCAGGCCGGAGGGGAGGGCGGGCTGAGCACCCGGAAGACTGATCACATTTTGGGGTGTACCCCAGGGCCCTGTGGGAAGGGGCTGCTCTGTCAGTAGGGATCAGTGGTGGTTTTCCAATCGAGGCCAGGTTTATTTATTTATTTATTTTTTTGTCTTTACAACACATGTTGAAACCGGGCCTGGTGGCGCAGGCCCATAATCCCAGAGTTTGGGAAACTGAGGCTGGAGGATTGCTGCGATTTTGCAACCAGCCTAGGCTACACGGCGAGTTCAAGGCCAGCCTGAGGTGCGTGAGGAGACCCTGTCATAAACAAGCAAACATACTTGTTTTCCCTAGGATACATGTAATCACTATGTACTGCAAACATGTACTAATAAAAAAAAATAATAAACTTGGAGGGAGAAGGGAAAGATGGTGTGAAAACAGGATAAGAAATGCTGTGCGTGTACCAACTCCCCATGATGAATTTAATCATGTACTGCAAACAGACTGGTAAAAATGTAAGGTCGGGCCAGGGGTACAGCTCAGTGGCATGAGCGCCTGCCTGGCAAGCGCAAGGTCCTGAGTTTGATCTCTGGTACCGCAAAATAAAATAAAATAAAATAAAATAAAATAAAATAAAATAAAATGTAAGGTCCTTCAAAACTATAAAGAAAAAATATATTTAAAAATGTACTTGTCTTAAACTTACTTTAAATTTTAAGACATGTCAACATTCTGATGTTGAAGATGAAATAGAAAGTCCTTTTCCCCTGAGGTAGACACGGTGCAACTTTATAGCATTTGTGTTCTTGGTATGGGTGATTTAGCTAATGGTCTCAAAATAAAAGACAAAAAGAGCTAAAGACAAGTTCATCATGAAGGACCTGGATTCAATCCCACTGTCAAAAACAAAAAAAACAAGCCCAATGTGGTAGGTAGCGCATAGCCTGGACTACACAGTGACTTCAGGGTTCGATGAAGCCCAGTCTCAAGAAAATAAATAAAAGCAGATCTGGGCACGGTTGAGCACACCTGTAATCCTACCACTCCAGAGGCTGAGATGGGAGGGTCAAAGGCAAGCCTCAGTTACTCAGTGAGTTCAAAGTCAGCTTGAGCCGGGGAGATGGCTCAGTGGAATAAGCACTTCCCTGGCAAGTGCAAGGGCTTGAGTTCAATCCCCGGTTCTCAAAAAAAAAAAAAAAAAAAAAAAAAAAAGTACCTATGGGGCTGGTGAGATGGCTCAGTGGTCTAAAGCACCTACTAAGAACAAGCTTAGCAAAGCACAGGGACCACGGTTCAATCCCCCAGCACCACATGCCAGCCAGCCCCGCCCCCTGGTGGGCTGAGCTGGCCACACACACACACACACACACACAAATAAATAAATAAAATTAAAAAAAAAAAAACAAAAAAACAAAGTCAGCTTGAACTACATAATGAGACCCTGTCTTTAAAAAAAAAAAAAAGCCAGCCTGACAGCTCAGCAGACTAAGGCGCCTGCTTAGGCAGAGTGAAGCAGCCATGGTTCAATCCCTGGTGTGCAGTGCCGGCCCTGCGGGCAGGGTGCACTGAGACAGTCATTGAGACTGGGCATGGTGGCGCACTGTAATTCCAGCACTTGGGAAGCTGAAAACAGTAGAATCACTATGAGTCTGATCTACATAGTGAGACCCTGTAGACCCTGTCCTAAATACAGGGAAAAAAAAATTTAAAAAGCAAAGGAAAACCATATTGCCACTGGTATAATCAAAACATATTCTATCTTTGCCTTTTGACAAAGGGACTCATTCCTGATGTCACATGCCAAACACTCAGCAGCTTTGCACATCAGAGGTGTGGGGCGTTGAGATCCCCATTTTACAGACCCAGAGGCTGAGTGGCTGAGGCTACCAAGTTATTAAGTGTCAGAATCAATGCTTAAGCCGGAATCTGGCTGAGTCCTCAGCAGGTTGTTAAGTCATCACAGATGAATACAGGGTGGGTCCAGCATCTAAGGAGCTGACAGACTCTTGGCCAGCTCTAGTAAGGCAGCGCACCCAGCTGGCTGGAAGCCTGGGAACCTCCTGGCCTGCTGAAGTGAACCCACTTGGGCTGCTTTATCCTTTCATGCTCCAGAATGCATACGAGGAGGCCCCAGCCCTCCGAGGGTTTCCCGCTACGTCAAGCAGGCCTGCCGTGGGACAGCCAAGATGGAGCTGCACAAACAGGAAAAGCACATGGACCGGGGGCAAGAAAAGCGCATGAAGCACCCTCGGCTCTGGCCCTAGAGGTCAGTTTCTGAGAGCCCAGGGGACAATTAACCAAGTTTGTTCCCCACAAACAAGCGTCACAGAGCCACCCATGATGCACTTCAAAGCGCCCGTGTCCATCTTTCATGTTTGATTTTATGGGGCCAGCTTTGGTGAGCTAATCTCCCCTTAATCTCTCCCTCAGGAGGGCCTTGGTGGAGCACACCTATAAATCCAGCATTCAGGAGACCAAGGCAGGAGGATTGCTGAGAGTTTGAGGCCAGCCTGAGCTACAAAGTGAGGTCAAAGCCAGCTGAACCCATAGCGAGTGGTTTGTTTTTAGTTGTTTTCCTTTATTCATTTAAATTTAAAAAATACTTTATTTATTTGGTACAGTCTCACTACACAGCTCAGACTTGTAGTGATCCTCCTGTCTCAGCCTCCCCAGAGCTGGGATTACAGGCATGTGCCACCATGCCTGATTTTGGGGCTGGCACAGTTCCAAGGCCAGCATGGCATGTGGTACCAGGGATTGAACCTGAGGAGCTTGGCAGGCAGGTGCTATAGACTGCTGAGCTGTCTCTCCCGCCATCATTCACTTGAAGTCCAGGATGGCCTTGAACTTTCTGTGTATCCCAGGCTGGCCTCCAATTCCCTATTCTCCTGCCTCAGGCTCCCAAGTGCTGTGATTAAGATGGGGTTTTTTTTTGGCGGTACTGGGTATGGAACTCAGGGCCTTGTGCTTGTCAGACAGGCGCTTATGCCTGATGAGCTATCTCCCAGCCCTAAACTCTCAGTGCTTAAAGCATGTCTATGTGGGTGTCAAGAGGCTCTGCTCTGCCTTTTCCCCAGACCTGGGCTGGTGAAGAAGGCTCCCTGGAACTGTGATCATCAGGAAAGAAAAGAGCGCCTCTCGCCGGCAGTTACAAGTTCAGTTCGGAAGTCGTGTGTGTTACTTCCACCCTGGCCAGAATGAGTCACGTGGTCGCAGGCCACTCAGTGAGGGCGGGGCGGGACAGGAAGTGCATTCACACTTCCGGTCCTGCAGGCACAATGCTGAAGCCCTTTGAACAGGTTTAGTACACTTGAGGAATGACTGAGGTGAGACCCAGAGCCAAGTATAGCTTCTCTGATACCTGCAAAGGAGATGCTTAGAAAACAACTTAGTGAAGAGAAAAAGAAGTAGAGGTCCAGGAAACAAGAAAGAGTCCACAGGAAAAACTAGAGCTACATGGTAAGGCCCTATTTGGAAAAAAAAGAAGTGAAGATGGAAGGAAGGAAGGAAAGAAAGAAAAAGAAAGAAAGAAAGAAAGAAAGAAAGAAAGAAAGAAAGAAAGAAAGAAAAGAAAAGAAGCATCGTGGAAAGTAGTACAGTGCATTCAGGGGCTTACTGTCCTTTTATGTGTGTTTTTGTGTATTTGTGTCAAAGCTGAATAAGATTCACTTCATCAGACTTATGAATGAGTCCAATTTACAAATGTTCTCCTGGAATGGGAGTAGCTCAGGCATCAGGAAGTTGCTGTGCACTGAATTTTCCCTTGTTAATGCTGCCATGGTTGTTGTTCTGAATTGCTTTTTAATGTGTGCCAACATCTGGTCTTTGTATCACCCACAGTATTGTGGTTGGTTTTCTCTTCCCTGTGTGGTGCTGAAGTCAATCCCCCCAAATATTATGGTAAGAAAACTTAAAATAAAACACCAGAACCTAACCAAACACAAGGATACACTACAGGGAGGCCAAACCTAATTAACAAGGCCTCCATAGTAGTTGCAGAGTTTCTTTAACCCAACTGATCTTTAATTTACAGAGCAAAACCAATACAAACATAAGATGGCAAGGCAAGAAGATGTCCCCCAAGCCCCTTACTGCACAAAGCTGATCTTATGGACACTGAAGTAGGGGAAGTCAAGGCAAAGCACTCAAGGGCTGGCCAGATAGCTCAGCGGATTAAGACGCCTGCTTAGGTAGG